AAGAGGTTTCCGAAAAAGTTCGTAAACGAAACTGTTACTGGTGAAAACGGATACCCATCTTACCGCCGCCGAGCATCTCAAAATGGCGGTTTCACTGCCGAAGTAAATATGCGCGGATCAGTTAACAATCGGTGGGTAGTGCCTTATTCGCCAGTACTTTCACGAGCATTTGAAACTCATCTGAATGTAGAATACTGCGCTAGCGTAGAATCGATAAATTATATCTGCAAGTACGTAAATAAGGGAAGCGATCAAGCGACATTTGGTTTACAGAGCAGTGATCGTGATGAGGTGACCAAATATCAATCAGGTCGCTATATAAGTACTTCGGAAGCAGTGTGGCGAATACTTGGCTTTTCAGTCCACGAAAGACATCCTCCTGTAATGCATTTAGATGTCCATTTGGAAAACGGGCAGCGGGTGTATTTTAATCCTGAAAACGTAAGGGAACGTCTAGAAAATCCTCGCTCTACCACACTCTTGGCGTATTTCAATCTGTGTCAAAAAGATAGTTTTGCACAAACGCTCCTGTACAATGAAATACCGTCCTACTACACATACAGTAAACAAAGAGGACTATTTAATAGACGCCGACGCGGTCAGCCTGTGGAGGAGTTTCCAGATGTCCATCGCGAGAACGCAATAGGACGAGTGTATACGGTGCATTCAAGTAATAGTGAGTGATATTACTTGCGACTTTTGCTGCACACAGTCAGGGGAGCCACTTCATATACATATTTGAAGACTGTCAATGGCGCTGAACATTCTACCTTTCACGGAGCTTGCTGTGCACTGTGTCTGCTAGATGACGACCGAAATTGGTTTGAAACTCTTGAAGAGGCCGTTGTCAGTGAAACTCCCAGTCGACTGCGGCATTTGTTTGCAGTTATGATAGTGTTCTGCGGACTTTCCCCATCCTGTACAGCTATGGGAGAAATATCAGCGGCATCTGTTAGAAGACTTTCTCTTCGCGGCTAAGCGTGCTGATGGAGATAGTATTGCAGATCCTGATAAGCGTGTTATTAATCGTTGTCTTTTGTCGCTTCAAGGCATTGTTATTTCAATAAGAGGCAATCCTTTGAGTCATTACGGTCTTCCAGAGCCGCAGGAAACCACGGAAGCTCAGCGAGTTAGTAGAGAGTATGCAGCGGAGACAAATTACAGTTATTCTGCGATGCCCGAAATTGTAAACAATAATTCTGGGACCCTTACCGATGAACAAAAGTCTGTGTATAACAAATATTAACAAGTGTCAATAAACAGGATGGCGAAACATTTTTTTTGGACGCCCCTGGTGGTACAGGCAAAACCTTTTTGACTCGACTACTACTAGCTGAAGTGAGACGACAAGGGAACATAGCACTAGCTGTCGCCTCATCGGGTATTGCTGCCACTTTACTCCCTGGAGGCAAAACTGCCCACACTATGTTTAAGATACCCTTGAGCCTCGATATAAATGAAACCCCAGTTTGTGCCGTATCGCGAAATAGTGAAAAGGCGAAAATTCTTGCAGAGCGCAGCCTAATCGTTTGGGATGAGTGTACGATGGCGCACAAGAAGGCCGTGGAAGCAGTCAATCGCACTCTCCAAGACATCCGACGAAACGATCACATCATGGGAAGAATAACTGTTTTATTTTGTGGGGATTTCCGTCAGACTCTACCCGTTATAACCCGCGGAACTAGAGCTGATGAGGTGAACGCATGCCTCAAATGCTCCGTACTCTGGCCACGGGTGCAGAAATTGAGTCTGACGCGCAACATGAGAGCACACTTAGGCGACAACCCCCATGCCCAAGAATTTTCGGACGCTTTGCTAAAAATCGGCGAAGGTTCATTTCCCTAATCGAATGGATTAGTAACCCTACCAGAGAACCTTTGTAAGATTGTACCTTCGGTGGAGGAACTAATTCATTCCGTTTATGGAGATGTATCTCAAATAACGCATCAGGACAACAATTCTTGGCTTTGCGAGCGAGCAATACTTACGCCCAAAAATGACCAAGCAGCTTCCATAAATCACAGCACTTTGGAAAAAATTGAAGGAGACGAGGTGATATACCGGTCAATAAACAAGTTTTGGACCGAACCGATGCTACCACTTATCCAGTAGAGTTTCTTAATTCTCTATCTGCCCCCGGACTCCCTGCGCATAACATCGTCCTGAAAGTGGGTATTCCGATTATGTTGCTTCGGAACTTAACCCCTCCAAAGTTATGCAATGGAACCCGCCTTAAGGTGATGTCGCTTCGAAATAATATTATAGAAGCAGAAATTCTTACGGGCTGTGGAGCTGGTGAAGTAGTTTTCATACCACGCATACCCCTAATTCCAAACAACTTCCCATTCCAATTTAAACGTGTGCAGTTTCCCGTGAGCGTATGATTCGCTATGACCATCAACAAGTCGCAAGGTCAGACACTTCGAGCCGCCGGTGTCGATCTCAGAACGAACTGTTTCTCACACGGACAACTATATGTAGCTTGCTCACGCGTAACTAGCTCCGACAATTTGTTTATAATGGCTAATATGGGTAGAACATCAAATGTTGTATATAAAGAAATTCTTTTGTTTTTATTGTTTCGTTTTGGATAACAATAAACGTTTTTACTTATCCATCTCAGTCTTTTTTATTGGTATTTGATTCTCAACTGTCTCCGTAAAATTAAAAATATTATCCACAGATTCTAAATTCCTCGCATACGAAGTCGCGGGCAAAAGCTAGTTCCTAATAAAATTTGAAATATGTATGTATGCACATTTAACGTTAAAATTACTTCTAACGTGAAAGTAAGTTCTGCAATGAAATAAAAATCAAATATTTTAAATTTCTATTGTTTTAATTTCAGGAAATAACTAGATATACGATTGAAGAATAAAATAATTTTAGTATCCCAAAAAACGTATTTTAATGAGTCCGATACTGAGTAGTATCGATACTTTTTCCCTGATACTTTTAGAGTATCGATACCATGAGCTTGATGCCAGAATGAGTACTCAGTATCGATACCAAAGTCCGAAATTTCGAACCCTAGAACTAACTTTAGTTGACAATCGGATTCTTAACCTAAGCTTGGAGTTGGATGTTGTCACATGCAACCACCATGTGCCTAGTTAGTTTATCACGGTTACGGCATTTGTGCTATATGATATCCAAGTTTGGTAGACATAGCGTCGGCAGAAAATGTGATGCGCGTGTGAACGTCGCTGTTAACTTCTGTGGCGTTAACTCCTCCCCCTTTAAGTTCAACGGTATCCTCACTGTTGTGGGTTAGGGTACCGGCAATATCATCTGTATTCTTTTTTGTTGTTTTTATGGTTACTTTATAGTTCCTTCGGGAGGTATATGTTCTATATAATAGTAGGCAGATAACTATGACGAAGATAATAGAATTGATGGTTAGACTAGCGCCGTATTTATACTTGATTTCTTTCAATTCTTCAGTGTTAGGAATCTATAATTCCTTCAGCATTTGTAAGGATAGGGCTTCCTTGAAGATATTGGTCGCATTAGAAGTTTGTGCTATTGCAGGTAATGGTTTTGCAGCTGATAGCTGATTGCTTCTAAATATTTGGTTTTTCACTGTGATTGTTGAGGTGCTGTGGTGTGTTCCTTGCAGTGACATGGATTTGTTATCTATTGTTACTTCCCCGCTGTGATCATTTAGTAGAAGAATGTTAGATGTGATTTTTTCGATTGCCGGTAAATGTTGGTTATTGGTGGTGGTGCATGTTGACGGCAAGCTTTTCATTAAATTAGGAATGCAACTAGAACTTGTAATATTAACAAAGCTCGACGTTTTACAAATTGATATTTCATCTAAGGTATTACATACGTGGTTCATTCGTAATATTTCATTTTCACACAACATTATATTTTCAAATTCAAACTTAATGCTAACATTTTTCATTTTTACGGGTTTTAACAACAATTTTTTACAACTAGTTTTCTCTGTTAATGGTAGCGACACAACGTACAACAAGGTTGATTGGTTTGCAGCGATTTTTACTTCACTGAATTCTAAGGCTTCTATTAAATTTACAAAAGGCATTTTTTGTTCCTCGAAAAGATTTTTTGTAATGTTAATTTCGAAATTTGATAAGATAAAGGAGTTGACAATGCCTGCTTTGGCCCACTGTATCGAGTAATCTATCTGAACCAATTCTTCTTCAATTATATTGAGTTTGTGTTCTATATTTCGTATTATCTCTTTTTTTGCTATCTCGCTTGACCGGACTGTGTTTAAAAGGGTATTCGTTATTTTCGAGATTTCATTCAGTCGGTTGATTATTAATCTGTTAATTATTAATTGTTTGTCGTTATTGCTTAATAAGTTATTTGTCTGGTCGGATATCAGTTGGAAATCGTCGTGGTCTGGAGAGCCTGCTAGCCATTTCCAAGCAGTTCCAAGGATGTTCAAGGATCGTTTTTGCCTAGGTTTGAGTCCGTTAAGTATGTTCTTTAGTAGATCGGTGTCGTATTTGAGAAAAAGGTAACTTCTGTCCTTGGGTGTAACATAGTTTTTTATTGTAGATTCTATGTCCAAGATAGCATCTTCGTATTGGTTGAGGTTAATTGCATGTAAGAGTTTGAATGTACCTGTCTGTAGTAGTGCAATACCTTTATCGATTGCGATTATTTGGGAATTGCTGTAATCCAATATCTGTGTTTTGCAGTGGCATATCGTCATTAATTTTAATAGAAAAAATATGTATCTTATAAAAGTTGTCATGTTGTCTCCTGTGAATGAAAATAATTCTTCTCAATCAGGTATTGATTATTTTTCCTAATACTGAGCTAATATATTTCTAACTAATTTATTATTAATCCTTTATGCACTATTCTTCCTGATTTTGTGGTAATTGTACTGTTTCTGTTTTCCGCTACAGTTTCTTCTTTATTTCGGCATGTAAGTTTATTTCCAATTCTCTTATTTGTTCTAACAAAAATTACGTCGTCCACATTATAATTTTTAATTTTTTTTTATAAGGCTTTCCTTTTTTTGTTGTGATAATTAAGGTCAGCGTCCTGTTTATATTGGAGCCTCTGAATATTCTTTTGCTTTTTGGCTTCGACTTGAAGAGGGTCAGACGTTACATGTCGTCCAAAAAATAGCTCTACAGGTTTTTGGTTTGTGGTAGAGTGAATAAAATAGTTATACTTCCATATGGATTCGTCGAGGAGGTCTGCAAAGGATGAATGGACGTTTTCTGCCTTAAGACAAGGCATTATTTCTGCCAATGTGCTGTGGAATGGTTCGATTTGTCCGTTTACTGTACTGGTATAAGGTGGGCATTTAAATATTTCGATATTTAATTGGTCTTCTAAAAGATGTATTATTGAAGCAGATCATAGTGATTTTTCGTTGTCGATAACTATTTTTTCCGGTATCCCGAAGCACATCAATAGTCTTCTAAGAGGTTCTTTAATATGTTGTGTGGCTCTTGATCTGACTAATGTCGCTTGGGCATATTTAGAAAACTTATCTATTACAGTCAGTATTACTCTGTCGTTTGTGTAGTAAATGTCTAGATGTACGATCTGTCCAGGATATTGTGGGATTGGAGTCGGTTGTATAATGGGTTTTGGGGGGTGTCTTTCATATTTCTGCGTTTTACAAACTTACACTGTTTTATTATTGCGTCTATTTTCGATTGCATTCTAGGGAAGTAAAATGATTGTAAATGCTGCTGTTTATTTTCGCGCGCGCTGCGATATGCACGTGTGTGTTCTTTTAGGATTTCATTCTCTTGTTCGGCTTCGTCCGCTAGGTCAGTTAACATTTTCCGCGTGAATCTAATTTTATAATTTCTGAAGTGTAGAGGGTATATTTCCTGTATTTTGCCGAGAATGTGCTCTTCTGTGCTTAAGCCGTTTACGACTGACGGATTCAGATATCGTTTTAAAATTTCAATTAATTTCTCTTGAGAGTAGTCATTTTCAGTAACAGTATGTCTGTGATATGTTTGGAAAATTATATTGAACCTGTATGAGGGAATTACATCGACATTATGTTCGGAGCTTTCATCGCTATGCATAGTACCTATCAATGAATTTATTTGGGGCGGTCGTGAGAGTGCATCGGCGACCACATTTGCCTTTCCCGGTTTGTAATGCAACTCATAATTGTTCCTCCAAGATGGCTTTCCATCTTTTCATTTTATTTTTGTTGCTTTTTGTACTAAGCGCGTACGTCAGGGGCTGGTGATCGGTAAAGATTTTAACCTTAGCCGATCCGTAAAGGTAGTTTCGTAAATTACATAAAGCCCAGATAATCGCCAACATTTCCTTTTCATTTGTGGCGTAATGTTCTTCTGTCTGGCTTAGTGTTCGGGATATGAAAGCAATGAGTTTATCCTTCTGCGAGAGTACTGCGCCAATCGCGTAGTTTGAGGCGTCTATTGTTAACTGAAACTCTTTTGAATAGTCGGGATGTATGAGCATTACTTCCTCTGCAGTGAGAGATAATTTAATTTTGTTAAAGGCTTCGATTGCGTTTTCATCTTGTGATATATGTTTTTTTTTTTTGGGCTTACGCCCATCTTCCCCTCTTAGAAGGACTGTAAGGGGTTTTGCCAGATTCGCATAATCTTTGATGAAGCCGCGATAATACCCTGAAAGTCCTAAGAAGGCACGAAAATCTTTCAAAGTTTGGGGTGTAGGAAAGTTCACTATCGCTTCGGTTTTTTTTTTGGATTCGTCTTGAGGCCCTTCTCGGTAATAATAAATCCCAGAAACTCAACCTCAGATTTTAAAAATTCACTCTTATCTAACTGTATTTTTAAATTGGCGTTCTCTAGACTCTCGAAAATGATTTTCATGTCGTTGAAATGAGTTTCCTGGGC